GAACCAGGCAGGTGCAGCATGCCCTCAGGGAGTGTTTGGGCACAGGGCCTTGTGTGCAGGGCACATGTTCACATAGCTCATCGAACTTCCAGAACCCTCATGGAAGCACCAGGCCTATGGCAACACTGCCTGGGAGTAGGGCCCACCACGTCCTTCTCTGCCTGCCTGCCTGCCTGTCTGGACACTCTGCCAGCATCAGTGCTCCCCTATCATCGGTAGTACTCCCCCCATTAGCAGGAGTGCTCCCTCCGCTGGCAGTGCTCCCCCCACCATCAGCAGTGCTCCCCCGCCAGCATTAGTGCTCCCCCGTCGGCATCAGTGCTCCCCATTGGCATCAGTGCACCCCCCCCGCCAGCAGCAGTGCTCCCCCCGGCCCTGACCCTGCTCACTTACCGATTCGCTCGATTCTTGTCACATCCCGGATCTCAGGGACTTTTGTGGTGGCAGCCTGCAGGCAAGGAAGATGACATGTGAAGAATTCCCACGTGCCCCACTCTCGAGTCCTCCCTCAAGGTCCTGCTGTCCTCCGGGAGCTCCATTTCGTTCCCTCCCTCGAGGCAGTCAACCCCACTCTGTGTCGCCCCTAACGGCAGGAAGGTCAGCCCCACTCCTCTCAGACCGGTGCTCCGGTTCCCAGAAAGTACCTAAACATCTACTAGGGCCTCCTGAGCCTCTGTGCGCCCCAAGAGCCAGCCCACGCCGTGTTGACATGAGTAAACACCTCCGAATGTCTGAGCCCTGGGAATCCCCCACGCAGCAAGCACACGAGTGTGCACAGCAGCCAAAAGCCACACACGTCCACGTGTCCAGCCACCGAGGAGTGAACAAGCAGGGTGTGGTCTAGTCATCTGCGGGGTATTCTCTAATTCTCCAGCCATAAAAAGGAGAAGAGGAGCTGACACCCTGGGAGATCACCGACTATGCCAAGCGAATGGGCTCTACACACAAAGACGCCATGCTGGATCAGCAATTAAGAGTACTCACTGGTGCCGCGCGGTGGTGGCGCACGCCTTTGATCCCAGCACTCAGGAGGCAGGAGCAAGAGGATCTTTGTGAGTTCGAGGCCAGCCTGGTCTACAGAGCCACAGAGAAACCCTGTGTCAAAAAATCAAGAGTACTCACTGGCTGCTCTTCAGGGGACCTAGATTAAGTGCCCTGCACACATGTGTTGGCTCAGTTGCCTGTAACTCTAGTTACAGGCACAGTCAATACAGAGGCAACACAGCCATACACATATAATGGACTACAGAAGCATAAGACCCCAAACTACTATTACACGAAGGACCTTCACAAGGCAAGCAAGCAAAGACATGCATTCAAGAACCCCACTGCCCTGACATCTCATCTTAATGGAGCTTACATGGAAACAAGCCAGAACACGTCTGTGAGGGACTTTCTAGACCCTCCCTACCCCTGCACCTGCTTCCTGACTGAGAATGCATTGTGACCGCTGCCTTGAACCTCCTACGGTCACAAGGGACTGTACCACCTCCAGCTGTGAGCCATAAAATAAAGCCTTCTATGCTGGCCAGCTTTAATTTCAGGTTGATCTGACAAGCTGAAGTCTTAGTTAAGAAACTGGCTCCTCGGGGCCAGGTGGGGGTGACGCTCACCGTTAATCGCAGAACTTGGAAGGCAGAAGCAGGCGCATCTCTGAGTGACTTTGAGGCCAGCCCGGTCTACAGAGCAAGGGCCAGCCTCTGTCACACAGAGGGCATTTTCTGACTGGCTATTGATGTGAGAGGGCCCGGCTCACTGGGCAGAGGCGCCCAGCAGTCCTGGGTTACATGAGAGCAGGCTGCGCTGGCCAAGGGGAGTAAGCCGGTGAGCAGCATCCCTTCCACACACTCTGTTCAGTTTCTGAGCCAACTAACAGGCTGCTGAGATGAAACAAAGCTTTTATCTCTAAGTTGCTTTTGTTTGCTTGTTTTTCGAGACAGGGTTTCTCTGGGTAGCCCTGGCTGTCCTGGAGCTCACTCTGGAGACCCTTATGTCAAGCAAGGAAGCAAACACGGCCTGAGTAATGCTTGTGCTCAGGATGAAGCAGTTAGTTACATCGCTGTAAATGTCACCTACAACTCCTGCCTTCGACATCCCTCCCAGACGCCAGGAGACAGCCTGAGCACCCTGGTGGGAGAATCCCAGGCTAAGACTGGGGAGTGTTATGAGCACTTTCCCACCAGCCTGGTCTCACAGCCACGCCAGCTCCAAATAACACGCTGTTATTAATTATGAAACTGTTGGCCGGTTACTAGCATTTCTTATTGGCTAGCTCTGTTTTAAATATTAACCCATAATCACTAATATACGTATCTCTACATGGTCATATCTTACTGAGAACGCCAGACTCCCGTCCTTTCCTCCTAGATGACATCACGACTCTTCTCCCTCTCCCAGTCCCGCCTATCTTGCTTTCCTATTGGCCAACAGGGTTTTATTCATTAACCAATAAGAGAAACATATTTATAGACTAACATCTCCCACCAGCAGTGCCCACGCTGGCTACACCCTTGGGACCCAGATCCAGTTGTGCTGGCTCCCTGGTGCCCAAGTGGTGCTCAGGGAATGTGTCCAGGCCCGGGAGGAGGGGCTACAATCCTACAGTCCTTTGTGGGACACAGGCATGCATGTGGCATACAGGCACCCACACGAGCAAAACACCCATCAAATAAGAACAAAAGCAGAAGCTGCAGAGTTGGCTCAGTGGTGAAGAGCGCTAGCCCAGGTTTGGTTCCACCGCGGTAGCTCATACCATTATTCTAGTTCCAGGAGATCCAATACCCTTTCCCGGCCTTCTGAAAGTATATGGTGCACATACAAGCTCATACACAAATAATAATACAGTTGGGAGCTCTGCCTTGAGCTTAGACATAAGTCTGTGCCACACGCGACCAAAGAATAAAGAAAGCCAGCTGACGTCCGCCAGCAGCCAGGCCTAGCTCTCCACTCAAAGAACAGGACTTCAGGTGTGGCTCTTTCCTCTCCTCCACGCCTCCCCATCCTCTCCTCACCATGGTAACGGCAACAGACTCTCTCTGGCTCAAGACCGGGACCGGGGCCACCAGGAGGCCACAGTATTTCCTCACCTGCAACTCTGGGGAGCGGATAACAGGCCCAGTACACCTGACCTCACTTCCTGGCATTTACTTGCTCACTTTACCATCCACAGACATGTGCCTTGTGTGAGGTTCCGGAAAATGCGAATAGTCTCTGGACAGGATGCCAAGCTCTGAACCCTCACCTTGTTGCCCCTCCTCACGGACACGCTCTTGGCTCCTGACACCTTTTCCCATCTATGTGACACACGCTCTCAAGCACACAGCACAGGCTACCACCTGCTGCTGTCCCCAGAGCCTCCCAGTCCTCACAGGACAAAGGACCGCATCGGGAGGAAGATGAAGTTTTCTGTAACATGATGTGGGGAGGAGCCAAGATTTTGCCATCCATCCCAGGCCGCTGTTTACTCAGTCACATAGACATCTGAGTATCGTGTTCGTGTGCGTGCGTGTGCAAGTGTAAGAAGAAAGAAATCCGAGTACCCACATGACTCTCCCATCACACTCAGGATTCTTTTTATTGTTTGTTTCTCCATACAGGGTTTCTCTGTGTAGCCCTGACTGTCCTAGAACTTGCTCTGTAGGTCAGCAGGCTGGCCTTGAACTCAGAGATCCTGCCCCCCGCCCCCCCCCCTGGTGCTGGGACTAACAGTGTGCTCCACATCGCCTGGCTGACTAGGATTCTTTTTTTGTTGTTCTTTTAAGACAGGTTTCTCTGTGTAGCCATGAACTCGCTCTGTAGACCAGGCTAGCCTCGAACTCAACTCCCAGAGGTCTGTCTGAGAGCCTCTGCCTCCCAAGTGCTGGGATGAAAGGTGTGCGCCGCCACTGCCTAGTGATCCTACTTCTTATACACAGTTGCCTTCCCCATCGAGTTCTAAGACTAGCTTTCTCCTTCCTCAGAGGTCAGGACACCAGCCTCTTCCTTCAGAGCCGGGTCAGCTCTCTTCCCCGGTCCAGCCCTCCTCACCAGCCCTCCTCCCTCGACCCAGGTGCCCTCCTCAGTCCTCCCAGGTGTCCTCCTCAGTCCTCCCACTCTAGACCAGGCCTCACTCAGACTCAGAGAGCCAGGCGCCAGCCCTCCTCCTCCATCACGTCCCTTAGACCCGTGGGTCCTCCTAAGCCCCTTGAGAGGCAGCCCTCTTCCTTCAGACGTCCTCCTCTACTCTCCTCCCTTAGACACATGCATCCTCCTCTTCCTCAGACCCAGGATGCTCCTCCCTCAAACTCGTGAGTCCTCCCGAGCCCTCCTCCTTCCTTATCATTCTTCCTCCAGACCCGAGTCCTCTCCTGCAGCCTCCTTCAGACCCCATAAGGAGGGTTACTCTCGGTTCTCCACATGCAGCCAACACTCACCACAGTTGCCATGATGCACACCAACCGCCAATGCCTCAGCGGAAACGGAAATCGGCTAGGAGCGGCCTTTGTCCTCTCTAGGCTCCCCGGTCATCCGGCCATCTCTATGGTGTATAAAATAGGTAAAACTCTCCGAGGGCGTAGATTAGCCGCGCCCACCCCAGAGGCTAAATTGGAAGGCGCGAGTCCGAGTCCGGGGCGGGTTCCTGACGTCCCCCGCTCCTCCTCCTTTTACCCAGCCCCCCCTCCCCCGCCCCAACCGCTAAGTCCGATTGCAAAATTCTGAACACACTTTTGTAGCAACCACACGTCCTCCACGATCTCTCTCCCTCTATCCGCCCTTCCTCTCCAAATTGGGCCACAGCAGAGAGTGACAGCTCTATTCGCCAATTACTTCTGTGCTGCGCAGCATCCAAGCCTCGCCCCCTGCAGTTCCCGGGGAGGTTCGGGCTGGGAATCTGGATCCCACCCGCCAATAAGAAGACGCCGCAGTCCGTCCCCCAGATGCGGACCAATCGTGCTGGAGCAGCAGGGCGGGCAGTGCCTCCTGGCGGCCACAAGGCCTCACTGCAGCTGCCCGCCCGACTCAGCGTCGCCGCGCTGCCTACCTGAGTCGGAGCGCTCCGTGGCGGGGGTGCGGTCGTGCAATAGGAAGGGGAGCGCTTTGCAAGCTTCCCGTGGGACACCCGCTAACTCGGCGGGTCACCAAGTCTGGTGCAGTCCCAGCCGACCTCTCCGGTTTCCGTTTCTGGTGCTCCAAGCCCCCGGCTCGTAGCAGCCATGCCTCTCAGCCGCAGTCTGTCCATGTCCTCGCTTCCAGGACTGGAGGACTGGGAGGATGAGTTCGACCCGGAGAACACAGTGCTTTTCGAGGTGGCCTGGGAGGTGGCCAACAAGGGTGAGAGCGCCCGCCTCGGCCCCTTGACCGAGGAGGGCAGTCGACGATGGGGGCCCCAAACTGATTCATACGGGCACAGAGCTGCGTGGGGGATGGGGGGACGCTTGGGTCCTGTGAAAAGCGCCTGTGACTTCTGTGTCCTTGTGGAGGGGCAGGAGTAGGTCCTAGGCCCTGGGGGGGGGGGAGGAACGAGAGATTACTCTTAAGATAGTAGGAGGCTTCAGGTCCTGCGATGTAGGGAAGAGGGCACTCAGAGAAAAATTCCTGGGTCTTGGAGGGAGGTTCTCGAGGGCCGAGAGACTTGGGACCTGAAAGGGGAAGGCGCTGATGCGTCTGACCGGGGGTGGGGGTGGGGTGGGGTGGGGTGGGGTGGGGGACGACGACGACTGGAGCTTTGGGATCTGTGTTCCAGAGGATGTGGCTGTGGACTAGGAAGTCTGCTCCTAAAAGTTGGGATTCGTGGATTGTGAGGGAGCATGACGGACCTGACTAGTGTAAAGATAAGGGGGCGGGGGTAGAGACTCGAATTCTTAGGGCCAAGGTGGGAAACAGTTGCCCAGGCCTGAGCCGTGGCTTCCTGTCAGGAGGGAGAGGTGTCTGCCTGTAGTCCCATGACTTGCACACTGGAATGGGAACGCTCAGGGTTTGGGCCCCAGGACGGGAGGAACCCACAGCTCGCAGTTGAGTGTATGGGAGTCTAGGACCACCAGCTTCTTGCGCGTGGAGGGTAGGCTGGAACCCGCAGGAGCCGGGCTGCGTGGATCTGAGTGTTTCATTTTCTGGATCTTGTGGAAAAAAAAGACTGGGTTTCCTAGCATGGCAGATCAGGGCTGTGTACTGCCAGGGTACTGGTTTCAGATGGAAAAGCTGAGGACCCAGATTCCTAAAGTTGAGATGGGGTCACAGGAGGGCCAGGGCCTGTGTGCCTGTGCCCCAGCCCAGGGCCCCTGGAAGTGATGAATGTTAATCCCAGCTTCCCTTAGGTAACTGGGAAGCTGGGTGGGGCCATGTACCATTCTTCCCAGTGCATCTGAAAGTGGGAAGCACTAAACCTGGGTCTCCAACCTTTGTTCTTCCGGAGCCTAATCCCCTCAGACTAGGAGTGCTTCCTGTCCCAGGACCAGGACTCTACCTGGAGCCAGCTCCTCCCTCAGCACCTCATCTCAGTCCGCTCTCTCCAGTAGACCCAAGAAGGCTGCCCTCAAGCGGCTTTCCACGACCCAAGCCCCTAGCTCCTCTGACTCCCTGTCTGCGTCCCGTCCGTCCCTGTCGCAGAGCTGTGGACCAGTGGTGGAGCTGGCTGTCCGTTTGTGCTTTGACCCACAGTGGGTGGCATCTACACTGTGCTGCAGACGAAGGCGAAGGTGACAGGCGATGAATGGGGTGACAACTACTATCTGGTGGGACCCTACACGGAGCAGGGTGTGAGGACCCAGGTAGAGCTACTGGAGCCCCCGACTCCCGAGCTGAAGAGGACTCTGGATTCCATGAACAGCAAGGGCTGTAAGGTGGGACACAGCCCTACCAGGGCGCGGGGACACGGGCTGCCAGCAGGGGTCTGACAGGAGGCCTGGATACCAATGGGTAGTAGGTTCTCGGCAGACCTAGAGAAGAAAGTGATAGACAGGTGCGGGGTCAGGGGCAGAAGGCCGGCGGGTACCAGATGTCTGTGAAAGGCCAGGTGGATGGATTCGGATGTAAGCTGAGGTCCTCACACCCACAGGGTAGAAACAAGCTGGCGCTAGAAAGATAGCCAGAGCCAGGTGTCATGTGCACACCTGTGATTCCAGCATCTGGACCATAACAAGGTACTGCCTCAAAATAAATAAAACAAAATAAAGAACAATCGCCAGGCAGGGAAAAGATGGCATATTGATGAACAGAGGAGAGAGAGGGAGACAGAGTCTAAGATGAGCAGATCCAGGGGCCTAAGAGAGGAGAAAGGGGCGGGGCTCAGTGGTGAAGCCCTGGCCTAGAATCCCCAGTAGGGGGCCGGGGTTGAGGCTTGGTAGAGCCCCCGTTGAGTGTGGTTCCCTGTGTTCAGTCTTAACCACAGAGAGCTGTCAGTCAGTCTATGCACTTGGGAGGCGGAGGCAGAAGTCACAGCCAGACTAGGGGCCGGGAGAGACGAGCACAATCTGTGCTTGGGGTGGGCTCCAGCATCCAGGCCAGACCATGTCCCTACAGGACCCCAGAGCGGCCACATCCTTCCCCCAGGGCAGCTGTTCCTAATAATAGGCCCCTCCCAGCAAAAGGGCAGACAACAGCTGGGGGGGGGAGGGGTACCCCAGTGAAGCTCTGGCTGGGGCAGAGGACAGAGCATTTCCATCGGCTGGAGCAGCGGTCTACACCTGTAGCCCCAGGAGGAAAATGGCTAATGAGGACTGGAATAGGACATGGCGTTTCAGGAAAGCGCAGTTGTGGTTGTTAGACAGGACCTTGTTAGATTATAAAACAGGCCAACAGGCAGAGGAGAAGAATAGCAGGTGGCGGTTACAGGGGCCCAAATGAGGATCTGGGTGAGGGGAAGCGCGCTAGCTCAGTTACCAGGCATGAGCGGGCGAGGCTAGTGGCTGAGGCGAGCCTGTCCCGGCCTCCCTCTGCCTCTCTCCTAGGTGTATTTTGGACGTTGGTTGATCGAGGGGGGACCCCTAGTGGTGCTCCTGGATGTGGGGGCCTCAGCCTGGGCCCTGGAGCGTTGGAAGGGCGAGCTGTGGGACACCTGCAACATCGGGGTGCCCTGGTATGACCGTGAAGCCAATGATGCTGTCCTGTTTGGCTTCCTCACCACCTGGTTCCTGGGTGAGGTAGGCCCTACTACAGACCCCACCTCAGCCTCTCTACCCACGCCCGGGCCGTCCTGTCAGTAGCGAGCTGGGTCGCAGGGATTCTGGGAGTTCCTTTCTAGTTGATTGATAGCTAAGCACTGGAAGAGGACTCGATGCTTGTGCACTAGAGTTGGTTTCAGAACCAGGAATCTGCCCCCCCCCCACACACACATTCTATGGTTTTTAAAAATGTTAAGAAACTTAATTGTGATGCCCTAGGACAGACAGGAGCTACTGGATTCAAAGCAGTCTGGAAGTTTTGGTCCTGTTTTTTACTCATTAAAAAGTCCACTGCCGTTGATGACGTACCAAGTCTCCTGGGACTGCAAGCAGGACTTGGGGACGAGGACATGTTGGTCCTTTCAGTTCAGACTTAGCAGGATTCAGAGATTGGCAAACCAACCAATTCCCATCGACTTGTGGGGATAAGCCTGGCTGGTTGGCCTGCCGCAGGGTGTAGTAGCCTGTCTGTGGGGTTCTCCTGCTTTATATGTCACCTCTCGCCCGTTCCCACGTCCATGCTGGGGAGAGCTGGTTCCCTGTGTGACATGTGGTAACACAGTGACCCCGTCCTTATTGCCCCATAGTTCCTGGCCCAGAATGAAGAGAAGCCGTATGTGGTTGCCCACTTCCACGAATGGTTGGCAGGCATCGGTCTGTGTCTGTGCCGGGCCCGGCGCTTGCCAGTGGCGACCATCTTCACCACCCACGCCACGCTGCTGGGCCGTTACCTGTGTGCCGGTGCCGTGGACTTCTACAACAACCTGGAGAATGTGAGCTGGAAGCATGGGAGACATGCTTGGCATGGCAGCCCACAGCTCTGGCAGGGGACCACGCTCCTAAGAGTCCAGGCTCCCAGCCCTCACCCTTAGACACCGGGGCAGACCTTCCCTCAAACCCAAGAGAACAGCCCTATTCTCAGAGTTCGGCTGCCAGCCTCCCTCGGGAGGGACCCTAATCCAGACCTGAGTCTGACCCCAGGCCTCGGCCCCTGACTTCCCTCCCTCCTGCCCAGTTCAATGTGGACAAGGAAGCTGGTGAGAGGCAGATCTATCATCGCTACTGCATGGAGCGAGCAGCTGCCCACTGTGCTCATGTCTTCACCACTGTGTCCCAGATCACCGCCATTGAGGCTCAGCACCTCCTCAAGAGGAAGCCAGGTAGAGTCTGAGCTGTGGGCCCCACATGTGGATGAGATAAGACACTATGCTGGGCCCCACATCGGTTTTATTTTACCACAGGGAATAGATCATCGACTTGGGAAGTCCTGGGTTGAGATGGTAACTTGTAAATGAAGCTGGCCGACTGTATCCCGAGGACCAATAGGAGCTATAGCTTCTTTTACTGTAATTTTTGAAAGGGATGCAAATACAGTAGCTTTGTTTTTGAATAAAGTAAGGTTACGACTAGGTTCGCTCACCCTGCCCCATGTGCTCCTAAACTTTGCCCTACATCCTAATATGGGTTGTAATTTTTTGTTGATTTGGGGTGTGTGTGTGTGTGTGTGTGTGTGTGTGTGTGTGTGTGTGTGTGATACACACCGGTTTATATTTCTGTGCATGTGTGTGGAGACCAGAAGAGAGTGTCAGGTGTCCTCTCTGTGACTACCCTATTTTTTAGAGGTTTATGTTATTTATTTATGTATATGTGGTATGTGTGTGTGTCCTTGTGAGTGGGTATGTGCACCAGGTGTGTGTGTGCACACGCGCGTGTGAGTGTGTGCATGTGTGTGCGTGTGCACGTGTGAATGCATGTGTGTGAGTGCGTGTGCATGTGTGCGCGAGTGAATGTGTGTGTGTGCGCGTGCGTGAGTGTGTGCGCGTTCACAGAGGGTAGAAGATGCAGTTAGAGGCAGCGTTAACCCCTGGAGTAGGTGATGGAAGGGCGGTCAGCTGGCTTGGCTGTGGAGCCATTTCTCCGACCTAACACCTTTTACAGTCAGGGTCCCTCACTGAACCTGGAGTCTGCTGTTTGCGGAGGCTATTTAAGCTCCCAGAATGCACCTGCCTTCCCCTACCTGCAGTGCTGGGGTTACCCGCACACTTAACCATGCCCAGCTCCCATGGCATGCTGTAGACCTTCTTTATAAAATCGAAAGTTAGTGTGTTCATAAGCTAACTCTCAGTACCTCAGCTCCTGCACACCGGTGACTGTGGGGGAATCTGGGGCGCAGCCTCCCTCCCGCTTGGAAACGGGAGCCACTGCTCCATTCCTCCCACTGGCCCTCCTCTCCTTTGTTTTCCTTTGGAGCCAAGGTCTCACTGTATACTCTGGGATACTCTTTTTTCTTCTTCTTCTTGGAAACAGGGTTTCTCTGTAGCTCTGGCTGTCCTGGCTCTGTAGACCAGGCTGGCCTCGAACGCACCGAGATCCGCCTGCCTCTGCCTCCTGAGTGCTGGGATCAAAGGCGTGCGCCACCACCGCTGGGCCTCTGGGGCAGTCATAAACTGAGGGTTCAGTTACTAAAGCACCTCAGCTGCACAGTGTTGCCAGTATTAGTTGCTCCAGCACGCTTGGCCCCGATGCAGTATTTGTCTTCATTCTTCTTGGGGCTCAACCATCTCCTCCCCTCATAACATTCTAAGAAAGGGTTATTTGTTTTTTACTTGCATGTTTGTGTGTGTTTGCCCGAGTGTATGAACATTGATCGTTCCTCTGGAGGACCCAGGTTCAATCCCTGGGACCCACATGGTGGCTCACACCATCTGTAACTCCAGTTCCAGGGGATCTGACGCCCTCTTGTGGCCTCCACAAGCAACACACACACACACACACACACACACACACACACACACACACACACGGTACACAGACATACATACAGGCAAAACACCTGGACATATCAAATTCAAATAAAAAGAATAAATCTAAAAATGAATAAGAAGTAAAGAAGGGTCAAGTAGCAGCGTTGCATCAGTCACGTGGAGCTGAGTTGTGACAGGAGAGTCACTTTCCCTTCCTTTAGTCGGCAATCAATGACCGAATGAAGAAATGAAATGCAACCTTCTCCCGCAATCCTAGATATTGTGACCCCTAATGGGCTGAATGTGAAGAAGTTCTCTGCTATGCATGAATTCCAGAATCTTCATGCTCAGAGCAAAGCTCGAATCCAGGAGTTTGTGCGTGGCCATTTTTATGGGTATGTGAGCCAGCGGCTGCGGGGTGGAGATTGCTGGGTCTGGTGGAGGCGGGCTGGTCAGGACCCCTAGCCCTGAGCAAAGGCGACTCCCACGCCTCAGGGAGAGGGCGAAGGTTTGGGTCCCTCGGTCCTTGGGTCCAGGACAGCAGTTGCGTCCTCACACCTAGAGCTCTGAGGTGGGTAGTGGAGTAAATACCCATCTAAGGAGAAAACCCTACAGCCCGCATGTCCCCTCTTCTCTGTGCAATGTAAAAAATGCTTTCGCCCTAGAGTACGACCTTTTCTTTCTTTCTTTCTTTCTTTTCTTTAATCTCAAAGCCCCACATACGTCAAAGCCATTTCCATTTTTCCATTCACATGTTTTTGGCTGCTGGTGTGAGAGGAGATGAAAATTTAATTGCCACCTTAAAGTCAGTAGGGTTGTGAAATGGTTTTTTGTTTTTTTATTTGTTTATTTATTTTTTATTTTACATATTGATCCCAGTTCCCTCTCCCTCCCTCCCTCTTACCCTCTCTGCCCCCCACATGCACCCTGACCACCCTCCCCTCCCATCCCCCACCCCCATTCCACATGTAGGGCAATGCCATCCAGGTGGGGTCATGTAGATCTGTCACGTCATGTGAAGTAGGGACTAGAACTTCTCTCCTGTCTCTAGGTTAAGGGAGTGTCCCTCCATGGGGGATGTGTTCGCAAAGTCCTTTTATGCACCAGGGATACATCCTGGCTCCACTGTCTGAGGTCCCTTAGACTGCTCAGTCCTTCTGGCTGAGACCCATGTTCAGGGGGCCTGAGTCAGTCCCATGCTGGCTTCCCAGCTATCAGTATGGGGGCCCGTTAGCTCCTCCTTGTTCAGGTCAGCTGTCTCTATGTGTTTCTGCAGCCTGGTCTTGTCCTCTCCCTCTGCATCTGGATTCCAGTTCGACTCAGTGTTTAGTTGTGGGTGTTTGGGACTGGGAGCTGGGGTCTTACTCTTTTCTGTGGCTTGTTTAGACACCTGGACTTCAACTTAGACAAGACTTTGTATTTCTTTATTGCTGGCCGCTACGAGTTCTCCAACAAGGGAGCTGATGTGTTCCTGGAAGCCTTGGCCCGGCTGAACTATCTGCTCAGAGTAAGGCCTGGTCCGTGAGGGGAGCCAGAGGAGGCAATGTGTATATAGCCAGGGAGAACAGAGACCTGCAAGGTGGTTATGGAAACTCTTGGGTAGGAGCAGAGCGTAGAGACCCAGAAAGATCAGAAGTCAGGGTTAGTGGTTTGTGCCTATTATCCCGGTGCTGGGGATGGTGGAGGTTGGGGGCTGAAGCAGGGATCAAACGTTCAAGGTCAACTTTTATTTACAGAGCGAGTTTAAGATCAGCCTGGACGATTTTGAGACCCTGTATCAAAATAAAAACAGGGCTGGGGGTGTGGCTCAGTGGTAGAGTCCCTATCTATTCAGGAGACTTTGATTTTAATCTCCTATATTATAAAAAAAGAAAACCACAAGTCCCATCATTCCTAGCAGCGATGGCATGGTTGAGCCCAGCGCCCTGACGTCCCTCTGCTTCTCGGCCCAGGTGAACGGCAGTGAGCAAACAGTTGTTGCGTTCTTCATCATGCCGGCGCGGACCAACAACTTCAACGTGGAAACCCTGAAGGGCCAAGCCGTGCGCAAGCAGCTATGGTCAGCAGTCTTGCAGACCCCGTGTGTCCATGCCTACTGTGTCCATGGCCCTCTGTGGCTATCTCTGACATGGTCAGGATGCCACACCCATTCCTAATGAAGTCACGTGGCCTGGCTGGACAAGTGTGAGCACGTAATGAGGGCAGGTGGTCCACGGGAAAGTGTCTGCCCTGGCACCCACTGTGGCCTTCCTTGGTATACAGCCGAACTCACTGAGCCTATTTCCTACTCTTTGCAACCCGTGCATTCCTTGTCCACCAGTCCCATGTGGTGGGCACTTGGAAGGGAGGCAGGAGGGTCAGAGGTTCAAGGTCATACTAGGCAGCATACTGAGGCCAGGCTTCCAGGGCATGGGGTGGGACAGATAGAGGGAGAGGGGGGAAAGAGGAGAGGGACCCAGTGTGGCTGGACCAGCATGTCCTGGGGAGGGTGTGGGCTGCATCCCTGGGAAGAGCGTAAGTCATGAGACGGTAGGGTGATAGTCTTTCCGAACTTGTGTGCCAGGACGTTCCTCTCTGCGAATGTTATTCCTCTTGTTTATAAAGCAGGGCCCAGCATCACTGTCCAAGATTCATCCAAACCCTAATAATAGCTGACATTTCTGGAAGGCTCTGTGGCCAGGCTTTCTCCTGACCTCTCAGGCTCTCTGCGACTCCTGAGGTTGAGTCTATTTTTACTCATCTCATAGATGAGTCACTGAAGTCACGGAGGAGAAGACCACCTGTCCACCGTCACCCATCTCAAGGAGCGCAAGCCTTCTTCAGTCAGTCCCCAGCCTCCAGTTAGAAGTCCCCAAGGGATGGTTTCTCTGTTGCCCCCAAAGCCTGACAAGTGGTAGCTGGTGTGTCTGTGATATTTTCTCTCTGCCTTCCAGGGACACAGCCAATACAGTTAAGGAGAAGTTCGGGAGGAAGCTCTACGAATCTTTACTAGTGTGAGTGGCCAGCCCTGGCTCTCTTCCCGTCTGTAGACTAACCTGTCCCATTACTTCATTTCCAAATGCCTGCCCCTCCCCTTGCAGGGGGAGCCTCCCAGACATGAACAAGATGCTGGACAAGGAAGACTTCACCATGATGAAGAGAGCCATCTTTGCTACTCAGGTACGGTCTGCACCCTGAGGAGAATGCTGGCCGTTGCCAGCGTTTCCTAAGCCTCTTGTCCCAAAGGGTTCTGTTCTCTTGGGTGGACTTTTGAGATCCAGGGAAATGTCAATGTAAAAACACAACTTCCACCCCGAAAGGGATAGGAGCGTGAGTGCTTATTCAGGTCGGTGTCGGTGGTGACGCATGCTTTTAATCCCGGCACTCAGGAGGCAGAGGCAGGAGGATCTCTGAGTTTGAGGCCAGCCTGGTCTACAGAGTGAGTTCTAGGACAGCCAGGGCTACACAGAGAAATCCCGTCTCAAAAAACCAAAGAGAGAGAAATGGGGGGAAAGGGAGGGAGGGAGACGGAGAGAGAGAGAGAGAGAGAGAGAGAGAGAGAGAGAGAGAGAGAGAGAGGAAAGGAAGACAGGGAGAGAGAGAGGAGAGAGGAAGACAGAGAGACAGAGGGGGAGGAGGAGAGGGAGACAGACAGAGAGACAGAGGGGGAGAAGGAGAGGGAGACAGACAGAGAGACAGAGAGAGAGAGAGGAGAGGGAGACAGAGAGAGAGAGGGAGGAGAAGGAGACAGATACAGAGAGACAGAGAGAGTGTGTGTGTGTTTATTGTGGAGCAAAGTATGGCCATGGATCTGGAACAGAGATTCAGGTCACCTGGAACACCATGTTCCAACATAGTAACAGTGTTTTGTAATTTTATGATAACGGAACAAAGAAAGAAATCACATAAGGTCTTTTAAAAATACATTGGTGGAGACATCAGGTGAGGAGGATACATCAAAGGGAGGGAAATCTCAGCTACAGACCTAGGATGCTGTCCGAATGCATTTCTAATCGATGACAACTAGGGTTTCCAGAAGTTAAAACATCCCCAAAGATTTCACCTGGTAGTCATGGCTCTTATTGGATCAGAGACAGACGGCAAGGAGTTACTTTTTAGTGGGTTGAAATAGTCCAAGGTAAATTTTTAGTGGTGGTGCTGGTGGTAATTTTTGTTTTGTTTTTAAAGATAAGTTTACTCTGCTTGGCCCGGGCTGTCCTGGATCTGTCTGTAGACCAGGCTGGCTTCTAACTGAGAGATCCACCTGCCTCTGCCTTTGGAGTGCTGGGATTACAGGCGTGCATCACCTAGCCCAGCTCTGTGGCTGTGTCTTGATTCCCACAGAACCCTCTGATTCCTGATGTTGGAATTAAGTGGATGGGTGATATGGCCCACAAAATGAGAACTACATTTTGCGATTTATTGACTGACTTCCTTTGCCCCTGAGGCTTCTGGGAATAGAGTTCTTTCATTTCCAGAGGGTCAAGGGACTTTGGTGCCTATGGTCCACATTGGTGAGGCTGAGTTTTGGAGTCTAGACAGCTAATATGCACTAATGAGGTAGGATGTGCTTTTGGATAAAATATTCCTGAAGCGAGGCAGCTGCTTCATTCATGAATAATGCTTACATGGGGCTGCTAGGAGTTGTAGATTTTGGCCCTTTATACTGCCAATGTGTGTGTGATGCAAAGAACTCTTCAGGATCTAAGACTTCCTGTCAGTCTATCTTTGTGTTGAAGCTCCTGGTGGGAGGAATATGAAAACTACAACATCCAGCTGCCCTTAGAGCTTGCTGTCGAATGGACATAACTGTCTCCTTGCCTGGGGGCATTTACATTTCCTTTAGGACTCCTTTGGGGGGCACCGGGGGCAGAGTCGGCGTTCTGCTGCCATTCCGGTTTATGTTACATGGTTACCATCAACTGAAAGGACAGTGAAATCATATGGTTGCTTCCATCTTAGTGAGGTTCCTTGGGGTTTCTAGAAGGACAGGCAGGCGTATAGAACAAAATACAGACACTTCCTCATAATCTGTAGAGTACCTTAACACCAGCTCTGCCTCGAGTTAGCTGGGATTTCCTGTTACTGTTTTGTTTTTGCTCATGGGTGCCAGTCTTGAACTTGTGGTCCTCTGTTGGGGGCTTCTTCAGCTCCCGGGTCACCACAGCCCATGAGCAAGTACCAAACTGCCTGTCCCTCTCCTGACCCAACCCCCACCGCATTTGTGGTCTCTGCAGCGGCAATCTTTCCCCCCTGTGTGCACCCACAACATGCTGGACGACTCCTCAGACCCCATCCTGACCACCATTCGCCGAATTGGCCTTTTCAACAGTAGTACTGACCGTGTGAAGGTGAGAGCTGGCCGTGGTGGCTTGGGTGTGGCAGGGGGGAAGGGTAGTCCTTGGGCATCACAATTTATCCGTAATTTATTCACCATGACCAAGACAACTCTTTGGTTTTTTTTTTTTTTTTTCAAGACATGGTTTCTCTGTAGCTTTGGAGCCTGTCCTGGTACTCACTCTGAAGGCCAGGCTGGCCTTGAACTCATGAAGAACTTCCTGCCTCTGCCTCCTGAGTGCTGGGATGAGGGGTGTACGCCACCACCGCCCAGCCGACTGTGACAACTCTTATAAAAAAAACCAAAACCATTTACTTGGGGCAGCTTACAGTTCTGAGGTTTAGTCCACTATCTTCATGGAGGGAAGTGTGGCAGCTTGCAGGCAGACATGGTGCTGGAGAGGCAGCAGAGCGTTCTACATCGTGATCTGCAGGCAGCAGGAAGAGACAGTAGCCACTGGTCCTGGCTTGGCCTTCTGAGACTCAGAGCCCACCCCAGTGACACACTTCCTACAAGACCACAGCTACTTTAACACATCTCCTAATTTGTCCGTCCCTGGGCCTATGGGGCCATTTTTATTCACTCTACCACATGCACTATTGAGAAAGAACCCTTCTGAGGCCAGCTGAAGCCTTTGGCTAGTTGTCTGCTTTGCTGTGTATGTTTAGAGTAATGTGCCCTCTCTGGGCTCCGCTGGGTGGTTAGGAAGTAGCTGAGCTCTTCTCTTCCATCGGCAGGTGATTTTTCACCCAGAATTCCTCTCCTCCACAAGCCCTCTACTCCCGGTGGACTATGAAGAGTTTGTCCGTGGCTGTCACCTTGGGGTCTTCCCCTCCTACTATGAGCCCTGGGGCTACACGCCTGGTGAGTGCAGGAAGTGAGGGGTGGCAGAGGGCGGGGCTCTTGTTCAGCCCTGGGATGAACCTGCAACGTGGCTCCTCAGTTTAGGGATGGCGGTAAGAACCCATTCTGTTCCAGAGTACATTTTTGTGACACAGAAGTCTACAGGGCCCAGAACTAGAAGACTGGAGTTAATTTTCAATGTTTGCTACTGATAACCCCGTCTCCAGTTCCCCAGTGTGAACAAGACGGTTCCCAGTGCCTCTCAGACTTGCTATATAGCCAAGATTGGTCTTGAACTCCTGATCTTCTGGCTTCTACATCCAGAGTGCTGGGATGACAAGTCTGTACCACTACGGCCCGTGTGTACGGTCAAACCTAGGGTGCTCTCCAGGCAAACTTCAGGCTCCACAGTAAAACCCTCAGAAGCAAACCACTACCTAGCAACTAACATGTGTGCCTGTGATGCTAATTAATGGGATGCAGAGGCAGGAGGATTAGGAGTTCAAGGTCATCCTTGGCTACCTAATCAGTTCAGGGCTGTCGGGTTACATGAGACCCTATTTCAAACAACAGGGGCTGGAGAGATGGAACACTGACCGATCCAGGCGGTGGCGGCACACGCCTATAATCCCAGCACTCAGGAGGCAGAGACAGGCAGATCTCTGTGAGTTTGAGGCCAGCCTGGTCTACAAAGTGAGTTCCAGGATAGCCTACATCATGAGATTCAATTCCTAGCGCCCGCATGGCTGCTAACTCTAGTTCCAGGGATCCAACACTTTCTTTTGGCCTCTGCAGACACTGCGTGCCTGTGGGCAAAACACCCATACACATAAAAAATAAAAGTAAATAAATCTCAAAAACCAGTAACACCAAATATCTTAATGTGGTGATGGTTAAGTAAAGTTCTTTATGTGATCCCAACATTAGTTAGCGTTCCATAAATAAGTGCCTTCTTCATCACGGACTTTTTCTTAGCTTCCCTTCCTAGAAATGGGGGGGGCCCTCCGCACCCTTGCTTACAGGTGCAGCGGGGGTGCACTTGGCTCAGTTGCCAGCAGGTGGCAGTGTAGAGGCACCTCTTGCGGAGCAGGCTGGAGAAACCTGTTGAGTATGCAGTTCCTACTCTTGGCCTTACAGCGGAGTGTACCGTCATGGGCATCCCCAGCATTTCCACCAACCTCTCAGGCTTCGGCTGCTTTATGGAAGAACACATCGCAGATCCCTCAGCTTATGGTCAGTGCAAAAGAAGGGCAGCATGAGGTCCTGGCCCAATTCAGACTTTCCCCCCCTAACAAGCCCTGATCCCTGCTTCTGTAGGCATTTACATTCTGGATCGGAGGTTCCGCAGCCTGGATGATTCGTGCTCGCAGCTCACCTCCTTCCTCTACAGCTTCTGTCAGCAGAGCCGGCGACAGCGCATCATCCAGCGGAATCGCACAGAACGTCTGTCAGATCTGTTGGATTGGAAGTACCTAGGCCGGGTATGACCGACTTCCCTTTCCTTAGCCTCCTCTGGTTCTGCAGCCTTAAAAGGCTGAAGATGGACGGGTGTGGTAGCAGCGCATGCATTTAATCCCGGCAGTCTGGAGGCCGAGGCAGATGGATCTCTGTGAGTTCAAGACCGGCCTGGTCTATAGAGCGAGTTCCAGGACAGCCACAGCTACACAGGGAAGCCCTGTCTCAAAACCCCAAAACAAAGAGGCCAGAGATAGGGAAGGGTCTCCTGCTTATAATAATTGCTGTCTCTTTAAGAAATTAATGAGGGGGGGGCTGGAGAGATGGCTCAGTGGTTAAGAGCACTGGCTGCTCTTCCAGAGGATCCAGGTTCACTCAACGCTGTCTGTAACTCAACTTCTAGGGAATCCAACTCTCTCATACAGACATACATGCAGGCAAAACACTAATGCAATATACATATATGCATATGTATAGTGTGTGTGTGTGTGTGTGTGTGTGTGTGTGTGTGTGTATGTACATATACTCACACCTTAAATAATAAATCTTAAAAAGGAACACTTGAGGCATGACACCTGGAATAGTCCTCTGGTCTCTGTATGTAGGCACACACACACACACACACACACATTCATACATACACATGCATGAAAGGAAAAGAAAGTCAGGCATAGGGGCTAGAGAAATGGCGCAGAGCACTGGCTGCTTTTCCAAAGGTCCTGAGTTCAATTCCCAGCATCCACATGGTGGTTCACAACCATCCATAATGAGATCTGGCGCCCCCTTCTGGCCTGCAGGCAGAATACATGCAGGTTGACCACTGTATAGTTAATAAATCTTAACAGAAAGCCAGGTGTAGTAATGAACGCCTTCAATTAAAGCACTTGGAGGCAGAGGTAGGTGGCTCCGTGTCTTCACAGAGCCAGCCTGGCCTACATAGCCAGTTCTAATAAAGCCAGGGCTACACTGAGAGATCCTCCCTCAAAAAACCAAAACGGGAAAACAAAAAACCAGAACTAGCATCTGGCCAGAGTCCTCTTCATTTGCATGTAGTGTGGCCAGAACAGTATTGATGAGAGGACACATCTGCCCTCTGGTAAGATGTGACTGGAGGATTGTCCATGCCTAGCCCGGATGGAATATTTGCATTTACGTAAGGACCTTTCACAGGAGAGATGCGGTAAGTTTGCCCAGTGTGCTCCTTTGCCTAAAGGCGAGCGGATGGAGCCTGGCTGGACGGTGAGGCAGGAGGACATTGCTGTCTGTGTGCTGCCCTGGGCTAATTACCAAGTGGAATTTGCTGCAGAGCCCTTGCCTGGAGTCCACCGTTGACAGCAGTGGAGTTGTAGACCCTTACCTCGAATCTACTAGAGGAGGCACAGCATGGAGACCGTGCCTCACACCTGGGAGGCAGAGACAGGTGGATCTCTGAATTGGCAGGACTGCCAGATCTACACAGAGAAACCCCGTCTCAAAAAACAAAACCAAACAAAGGAAGTGTCAGAGATTTATTGACCAGTAGCTGGAGTTTAGCCTGTCCTTGACACGTTTTGCCTTCCTTTCTGCCCAGTATTACATGTCTGCACGTCACATGGCTCTTGCCAAGGCCTTTCCGGATCATTTCACCTATGAGCCCCATGAGGTTGATGCGGTAAGTGGCGTGGGGGCCAGTGCGGGCCAGGGACTGGCTGGGCAGGGACTGGGCTTAGTGGGTGACTAGGGACTCACCGTGTTTGCGCCTGCTCTGGGTATGCAGACCCAGGGGTACCGTTACCCACGGCCAGCCTCCGTGCCGCCATCGCCCTCACTGTCTCGGCACTCCAGCCCACACCAGAGCGAGGATGAGGAGGAGTCCCGGGACGGACCCCTGGGGGGAGACAGTGAGCGGTATGATGAAGAAGAGGAGGCTGCCAAGGACCGCCGCAACATCCGAGCGCCAGAGTGGCCACGCCGGGCCTCCTGCTCCTCCTCCACAGGCGGAAGCAAGAGGAGCAACTCGGTGGACACTGGACCCTCCAGCTCACTCAGCACGCCCACTGAGCCCCTGAGCCCCACCAGTTCCCTGGGCGACGAGCGCAACTGAGCCCCTCCACCCCACTCCTGGCCTGTCCTGTGTCCCGCCTGCAGAGGGAGGGTGCCTGAACCCCACTCCAGATGCTGAGAGGGTCTCTTAGCCAGTGTGGTCCATAACCCAACCTGTCCCAGACACTCCAGCCCTCTGGTTCCAGTCTTGGAGCCTCACACTCCTCACCGCTGTGCCTTTCTTGGATGGCAAATTCAGTTTTTGTGCTCCTGTCTGGAGTCTCCACGCTTAGCCTGGGTCCCCGAAGCTAGGAATCTGCCTTTTCTCTTCAGTGTCAGACGGTTTACAGAGTATGCAATGTGCAGGCCTGTCCCCAGGACCTCCTGTTAAAATCTGTGTGACCTCCCTGCAGCTGGGACACCTCAGGGATTAACAGTTGAATACCGGGCTGGAAAGGGAGTTCAGCTGTCAGAGTCCTTGCCTGGCGTGCGGAAGCCCTGGGATCTAGCTCTAGCACCTCGTGAACATGGTGTGGTGCACATCTGTAATTCTGACCGAAGTGTAAGGGTCAGGAGTTTAAGGTCGTCTGCTGCATAGGGACGTAGTTCACAGGCAGGCTGGGCAACAGAGAGGTGGTCTCAAAGACTACGACAAAACAATGCAAAGGTCCTCCATTTCAACCCTCAGCTGGGATGCCAGGACAGGCCGCAAGCCTCCCTGCGTGTCATGTTCATTTCCTCGAGGGAGCACGGGGTTTGAACCGGTCACCTTTCTGCCTTCTGGACCAGAGCTTATTCTTCCCCTGGGTCCAGTGTCCCCTCCTGGAAATGCCTCCCTTGAGGACAGAATGGCCATCAATCCACTCAACCCACTGTGAAGCCACTGGCTCCCAGTGGCCCAATCAGGAGTCACTGTGCTGCACCCGCCCTCCTTCCTGATCTGGAACCAAGCCCACTGGCTTCTCGAAGCCTCAAGTGTACCTCAAGGCCTTTCTGCCTGCAAGCTTCGTCCTGCTCCTGCTTCAGTGGATGGGCAGGCCCCTCACAGGCTTGGTGGTTTGCATTTGGAGGGGGAGGGCAGGAGGTGTGTGATTGGAGTGTGTCAGATGAAAAAATATACCTGTATTTAACAGTTGCCAGTATAGCTAGACATGAACTTGTGTGTGGTTGGTCTCTGTCCTTCCTTCCCCGAGTCTCTAAGTCTCTATTCTCTCTGTGGCTTTCAAGGCTGTCCTGGAAGTAGACCAGGCTGGTCTTGAACACAGAGATAACCTGCCTCTGCCTCTGGAGCGCTAGGATTAAAGGCGTGCTCCCACCACCCGGCCCCCAAGTCTCTGGTCTTACATTTAGTTTTTATAGGTAGGATTTTGCCACATACCCCAGGGCAGCTCAAATTCTTAACAGTCCTGCCTGCAGGAGTCCCAGCTTCCTGGTTTTAGGCCTACTCTTGCCTGCTCCATGGTGTTTCCAGTGCTGCTCTGGGGTAGAAAATGGCTGAAATGGAAGATGCACAGGTGCACACAGAAAAGGGCCTAAAGGCGAAAGCCTACCTTGAGTTCTTCCGGTCAGTTCTTCCGAGCAGCTTAAGGGTGTGGTTAAACAGTTTGTCAGCCAACAAGAGGACCTGGGTTCTAACCCCAGGACTGTGGCCAAAACCTTAAATCCTGTTCTTCAGCAATGTTGACTGTTTCCTAGCTGACATCAAGTTCCCAGGCGTCACCAGTGCTCACTCTTGCTTTGAATGTCCAACCTTTGGGGGTGGGGCGGCCAGTCATGTGAACTGCCCACATGACTGCTTTACCCACAAAAATCCACCACAGTGCAATGGCAAGGTGCTGATCTCAGGGTGTGTCATGCACTAATGAGGTCCTCTGGTATGCTAAAGGGTCTGAGCTGACACCCCACCCCAAAGCTCCTACCGTTCCCAAGTTTCATCTTAGGCCCAACCTCTAGCTCAGCATCCAGTGGACACTGTGAGCTACCCCCACCCTCCCATGCACTGGCAGGCACTTCCTAGAAGCTAAGGAGCATGTATTAGCTTCAATTCCCAATCTTAACCACCTTCTATCTGCATCTGAGCTTGCCTAATGAGGCTTCTGTTCACTCCCTGCACAGTAACAAAATAAACCAAGGATTGTAAGACTCCCAGAGCCTGGGTCGCCTGAGGAAGGGTCAGCACCTGGTAGGTAGAGATTCCTCTAAGACATGGGTTCCCACAGAACACGAGAGCAGGGCCAACCTTTTCTTTGCCCAGTGACACCCAGAAAAATCACCAGCTGCTGTTTCAAAAAGCTTTATTTTTACTTGGTCCAAGATCTGAGAGGGGCTTCAGAGCAGTTACAAAACTGCCTAGTGGCTTGAGAGGTTCGGGTGAGGGTCCTGAGGCTGGCTGGTGCAGAGCAGAGGGAGGGAGCCCCTTGGAAGGGGAGGCCTCCTAGTCATGCTTGAGAGTGAGCCGCTCAAAGAGATACTCGCCCAGAGATGGCTGGGGCACGCCAGTCTGCGTTGGCTGGGGCCCAGCCAGCCTACGGATGTTGGTCAGGTGGTTGCCCATCTTCTTGATGAGCTTCACCTCCTCATCCAGGAAGTGGCTCTCCAGGAAGTCACAGAGCTGTAAAGGAAGGAGACAGTTATCAGAGGCAGGTGTAAGCAGAAGGCTCCTAGGAAAATCTGTTCCCAAGGGCAGGTAAGCACTGGCTATGGTTGGGGCGGGAGTATTACTGGGAACTCAGGTAGCCATGCCTTACCAAAGAAGGAAAAAAAGGATTAGCAAGGTACTTACATGAGGGTCTGTGCGACCGGAACCCAGGGAATGAAGATCCAAGAGGGCCTGGTTCAGGTTCTTCTCCAGGGCCAAGGCAGCTTCCATGGCCTCCTGGGTTTTACCCCACTCATCTTGAGATGGCTTCTGCACAAAGAATATAATGTTTCAGAACTGGCCTCCCAGCCTTCACCCACCTGAGGGTAAAACTGACTACGCGGGGAAGTGGGCACCGAGCGGCTGGGAGGCAAGGCAACCTCGTCTACATTGTGAGCTCCAGCCCAACTAGGACTACAAGCTGAGAACCTGCCTCCCCAACCCAGCAGTCCTGTGGACCGCATTTTCCAAGCTCCCGAGACACTTGGGCAATGATTTACCTGCCTCTACCTACAAGCCAAAAGCGCACGCAGGCGCCTGGCGTGACCTCCTAATCCCCACCATACATCCCTCGAGAATGGAACGCCACTTTCCAGAGGCCGGACCTTTGCCCGGTCAAAACCAAGGGCCCACATGGGATCGGCTCGCCGGGGGGGGGGGGCGTCGAGTCTGCGGCTGCTCTTACCTGCACATCCTGGAAGAGCGCGCGGCCCCCGCGGTCGTTCTGAAACTTGAGGAGTCGCTCGGCACCCTCGCGCTTCTCCTCGGCCAATTCGCGGAAGAAGTGGCCTACACCGCCCAGGGCCACGTCATCCCGATCAAAATAGTAGCCCTGCGGGGAGGAATATTTGCAGCCGGAGTTAACGGGGCGCCGTGGCGCGCACCTTCCATCGCGAAGCCCGGGAGGCAGGGGCAAGGGTTTCCATGTTCCGAAGCCGCTCTGGTCGGCGTACACAGCGCCATCCCTCCTCGGAGTAAACAAGGACCGTGGGGAGGAGGGAGGCGGCGCACGAGGTCTCCCGCCCTGGATGGAACAAAGGGGGCCCGCGCATGCGCGGCGGGCGGGCTGGGATGGGTGGGGGGCACGGCTGGCAGGGACGCCCGAGGCGCTCACCAGAGAGAGGTAGGCGTAGGAGGCCCGCAGGTGCAGGTTCACCAGGCGGTTCACGGCAGCCTCCACTTCGGTAGAGTAGTTCTGACGAACCTGGGAGGCCATGGCTGAGGCGCTGTGTGCGGACGGAGCTGGCTGGTCCTAGGGGCCGGGGGAAGAGGAGATGGTCCCGGAGGCTGCGACTGGAGAGGCCGGACAGAAGCTGCAGGGACCCAGCTAACGGAGGGCGTGCCCGGGTCTGCTCCGTCCAAACACTGTTGAAGCAAGAGGCAGATCCGCGGGAGCCGGGGCTGCGCTGCTGGCGGCGGCGGCGGCCCGCACGGCCCCCTTTATAGGGCGCTGGCCCGCAGGGGCGGGACCTCCGGGGCCACGGATCAGCCAATCGGCGGGGGCGCGGGGCGGAGCCGGGAGGCTGCGCCGGGCCAATCCCGAGCCGAGGCCCTCCCGGCCCCGCCCTCCTCTCCCCCCCCCCGCGGGCAGGTCACGCGCCTGGAGCGCGAGGCGGTTGTGAAATGGAGGCTGGCGGGGCTGCGGGCGGCGGGAGGGGCGGGCGCGGGTCTCTGCGCCCCGGAGGACCAGGCTGCGGTCCTTTGGGGCGCGCCTCACAGGGGCAGCGTCTGGACGCGCGGAGCGTGGGGCGCGCTCAAGAACTGTGCCACGCGACGGAGGGGCATCGCTTCACGGCAATGTTTGCTTTGGAAGGGTGCCCACAATTCTAGGGTTCTAGGTTCGCCATGCAAACTTGTTTTTCTGGAACCTTCTAGGGGCCGTCTTGAGGCAGTTGCAGGATGGAAAGATTAGGGAGCCAGCCGGGGTTATCGAGTGTGCTCTGGAAAAGCGAGGTGACACATGGAGCCCTGGGAGCTGTACCAGGAGACCTGTCCTTCTAGGAACTCAGCTTTGCATACGAGAGTGCTGCCTTGGGGCGTTCCTGGGATGCCCTTCCTGGAGGCTGGTCTACAGGCTTCCTGAGGGCAAAAGGCTTTTTTGGAATTACAGAAATCCCAGTCTTGAGAAGAACTCAGGACCCAGGAACAGATTAGATTGTGTTCAGACAAATATATGCAAGGTCCAAATAGGGAAGGACAGCCTCATGCGGGTGTGTGTGTGTGTTCCAACCTCAGGAGCTTGGGGGGGGGGGGGCGCAAAGGCGAGAACTGCCCTGGGCCCGGGAAAGGCACACTGCATGCTGAGGACCTTGGTGCAGGCTGCAGCTCAGGCCAGCGCTGCTGAGTCATGCTGAGCTCAGCTCGGTGGTGGTTATGGGGCGGGGTGTTGGCCTCACCCTGGCTGGCACCCTGTTGTCCCCCTGCTCTGAGGGACTTGGGGGGGGTTGGGGGGGGACTGTGGCCCCGTGGTTCCCTCCCTTTGGGCAGTTTTACCACTGGGGATGGCTGTCCTACACATATCTTTCTCCTGACTTGATGTCTGCGGCGCCCTGTTGATTTGGGGGCCAGAGTTACTCATTAACCACAGCACTCCAGACTCTGACCTTCGGCCTCCAATGGACCCGGACAGGCCTAGACAAGGCAGTAATGGTGGAAAAGGACGAAACCTGGGAACCCATAGAGAACCGGGATGTGTGTGTGTGTGTGTGTGTGTGTGCATGTGTGTCTGTGTGTGTAGACTCTGGGTGTGTGTGTGCACGCCCGCACAGACTCTGAAATCATGGAGGTATTAGGGAATGAGGGTGGCAGTCTCAGAAACTGGGTCAAGGACCAAGTCCCCTTTTAAATGTCCTCCAATGCAGCACCTGTCCCCAGAGCTAAAGGCAACCCTGAGCCGCTGCACTTACTCCTCATGGCGTGGTGCCTTTCACGTCCTGTTTGGCTGCCTCGGGTGCACAACCGGCCTGGTGCCTGTGATCCAACTGGGCGGACACCAGACCATACAATCCAAAGTGGACCCGAGGTTTATTGTCCCCTCCCCCAGGCCACCATTCCCACCCCTCCCAATAATTACAAAAGTAAGAAAAATGCCTGTCCCCTGTCCCCATTCTTTCCAGAAAAATGCCATAATTTATGAAGAAAAGACACAGTCCAGGGCCTCAGCCCATATTCTTCCAGATTGTGAGTGAGGCAGTGAGGACTCCAGCCACAAAGATGGTCACGGTCTGCCAGGTGGGGGTCCCAAAGTATGAGAGGAGACCATCCTGGGAACAGAGACTTGTGTTAGTTACTTCAACACCAAGCTGCAGGGGGAGGGGGCAGGAATCCCACCCATGAGGGATGCTAAGGGAACCCAGCACTCAGGAACCTAAGGCAGGAAGGAGCCTTACAAGTTTAATGTCAACAAATCCAGGACAGCCAGGGATACACTGAGAAACCCTGTCTCAAAAAAAAAAAAAAAAAAACAAAAAAAAAAAAAAAAAAAAACCAAAAAAACAAAAAAAAAAAAACCCAAAACCGGGTCAGTGAGATGGCTCGATGGCTCTTGTGGGAAGGCTGCTTGTTGCCAGCCTTTATCAGCGTAAATTCCATTCCCAGAAGCAACAGGGTAGGGGAGAATGGACTACTGCAAATTACCTGACTTCCACACAAGCATACATACAAACATGCCAAAAGAAAAAAATGTAAGAAGGAAATAACACATAACCCCCCACACTCCCAAAATGGAAAAACAAAAACACAAAACATGATTCCAATCTGGAAGCGGTGGCCCACACCTGCCACCCAGCACTTGACAGGATGAGAGGGGTCACTCGTTTGGACTAGTGTGGGCTGTGTGCACGGGGCTGGGCTCCACCCGGCACCTCACAAACTGGCATGAAGCGGGGTGATCGGAAGTTCAAAGGCACCTTCAGCCAGCCTGCGATACACGACCTCAAAAAATAAAAATCGAGCTGGGTCACCGTGCACTCAGGGATCCTGGAATGGAAGGCACCTCTCTGAGGGTACAAATCAAGCCAGGTCATAGAAGTCAAGAGGACCAGACGCACCAGGCTGGGAAACTCAAGGACAGGTGTCTTACATCATGTCTGATGGCCTGAGGCACCTCTGTGGCAGCCCTCGGTTCCACATAAGTGGTTCTCAACCGCTGGGTCAACACCCCCAAAAGAGGTCCCGTATCAGACATCCTGCATATCAGATAAACTACATTACAACTTTTTTGGTTTTGTTTTTGAGACAGGGTTTCTCTGTGTATCTTTGACTGTCCTGGCACTCACTCTGTAGACCAGGCTGGCCTCGAACTCACAGAGATCCACCTGCTTCTGCCTCCCAAGCGCTGGGATTAAAGGTGTGTGCCACCACGGCCCATACATTATGACTTTTAACAGTAGCCATGAAATCATTTTATGGTTGGGGGTCACCTCCATACAAGGAAGTGTATGAAAGAGTCAGGGCATTAGGAAGGTTGAGAACCACTGGTCTAAAGTGTGACAAGGACTGAGGGGTCTCACCCAGCCACCCTGGTCTTGGATCCAGACAAGCAGCCGCTCTCGGAGGAAGTCCAGTGTCCACCCCATGATGGTTCTGATTAGTTCCGGCACTTTGGTGCACAGGGCCTGCAGGGAGTCAGAAGGGTACATGGGAGCCCTGTGTACACTCCTGAGAAGGGAGTCTCAAGCCTTGGCTCCCACTCCTCCTCTGTCTCCATTAAGAAGGGCCCCCACCCCACCCCTTCTTAGAGTCTGAGTCAGCTCCACTGATTATAAGCAAGGAAACTTCACTTATCTGCTTGGGAGCCCTACAGATAAAAGCTGGCAGGCAGGGTGGAGGTAAGGCTCAAAGGTAGAGCAGTGTCCTAGCTAGCACGTGTGCCCCTGCTTCTGTCCCCAGCACCCAGCAAACCCTGGGGAGATAGAGCTAGGAGCAGAATGTTTCAGCTGACTTGTAGGACAGACACCTAGGTTTTAGTTTTGGGGTTCTGTTTTTGAGACAGGATTTCTCTGTGTAAACCAGGCTGGCTTAGAACTCAGAGATCCAACTGTCTCCGCCCTTAGTTCTCTTGGCCCAGACACCAGTACTTCTGGAAGGACTCTAAGGGTCCTGGGAACAACAACGGCACTAGGAAGACTGACAGCCAACAAGGCCCGGGGGTGACCTGCTCCCAGTTTTGTTCTCAGCTGGAATGCCCCAAACTGCACAAGCCAATCTTCAACTTCTGGACTAAGGCCATTCTCTTGCTGTATCTTGCTGGGAGATACACACACTGACAGCTTAAACAATCCGGATACCTCTTCCTATCATCTCTCTGATGCAGGTTGACTCTTCGGAAGCCATAATCTAGCAGAGGTTCTTTTCCTTTTTTTAAAAAAGGTGTATTTATTTACTAGGTGTACAGTGTTCTGTCTGCATGCACATCTGCTTTCCTGAAGAGGGCACCAGATCTCATTATAAATGGCTGTGAGCCACCATGTGGTTGCTGGGGATTGAACTCAGGACCTCTGGAAGAAGAGCCAGTGCTCTTAACCTCTGAGACATCTCTCCAGCCCCAGAGAGGTTTTCTAGACCAGGTAAGACCACCTCCTGGCAGAGTCAGGACTTGCTCTCTTGATTGGAGCAAAGCTCTCTTCCCAACCTGTATTTGGGTTCCCAGGGGACTACCGAACAGACCACTACCCTTCCGCCTCCGATACTGAAGTCCCATTAGCTCAGGCATGAAACCACATTAGGAGAAGCATGGACGATGGTCAAAGTTATATACTGAGCATGTGACAGTGCCACTAAAAATAACAAAACATGGCAGGAAGCAGATCTGCCTCAGTAACTCCGCGCCTGCCCTAACATATACCACCACAGCCTGGTCTAGAATGTTCTCCGTAACTAAAGATGACCTTGAATTCCTGCTACTCCCACATCCAACTTCCCAAGGCTAGAACTGCAGATATGCACCAACCACACCTATGCTAGCCAAGGACTCAATGGAGCCATAGCCCCAGCCCTGTTGTTTTCAGAGAGCGTTTCTCTCTGTGTAACAGCCCAAACTGTCGAGAAACTCGCCCACTCTATACAAACACTGGGCTGGCCTTGAACTCACAGATCCACCTGTCTCTGCCTCCCCAGCGCTGGGATTAAAGGCGTGCACCTGCACGTGCACCACCACCACACCCAATGGGCCTTTTTGTATTTGTATATGATGATGGCAGACAGAGCCTAAGGTTTCACATATGCTGTGCTGAGGTCAGCTACACCCCTAGCTCCTACATTGCACATTTTTGAGGGTGTTTTTGGTTTGTTTGTTTTTTTTTTTCTTTAAAAAAAAAAAGAAAAAACTCAATATTAGCTGCAGTAAACCTCCTACTTCAGCCTCATGAGTCCTAGAATTACAGGCATAAGCCACATTGGTTTTAAGGCCACTGAGC